TACCAGTTGTAATTACTTAACACACCAAACTTGGGGGCACCCAAATACATGAAGCAGCTGATAACAAACATAAAGGAAAAGGAAGTAATTGATAGTAATACAATAATAGACTTTATCATCCCACTTAAATCAATAGATCATCCCCCCGCAAAAAAAAAAAATCAACAAGGAAACAGTGGCTTTGGAAGACACATTGGACCAGGTGGATCAAATGATATATTCATAACATTCCATCTTAAAACAGCAGAATACACATTCTTTTCAAGTGTACAAGGAATATTTTCCAGAATAGGTCATACTAGGCCCCAAAACAAGTCTCAATATATTAAAAAGATTGAAGTCCTACCATGCAGTTTTTCTAACCAGAGTGCTATTAAACTAATATCAACCATAGGAAAAAAATCTGGAAAGACCACAAATATGTGGAGATTAGATAACATGCTACTAAACAATGAATGGGTCAAGCAAGAAATCAAAGAGGAAATTAAAAAAAAAAAACATGGGGACAAATGAAAATGAAAATACAATGATCTAGAATCCTTGCAATGAAGCAAGAGCTGTTCTAAGAGGGAATTTTATAGCAATACAACCTAACTCAAGAAGCAAGGAAAATCTTAAATAAAAAACCTAAAGTTACACTTAACACAGCTAGAAAAAGAACAAACAAAACCCCAAACCTGTAGAGGGAAGGAAATAATAAAGATTAGAGCACAAATAAATGAAATAGAAACTAAAAAAAAAAAATTAAAAAAACAGTGAAACTAGGAGCCAGTTCTTTGAATAGAGCAACAAAACTAATAGATATTTAGACTCATCAAAAAGAAAAAATGAGACAATTCAACAAAATCAGAAATGAAAGAAGAGAAATAACTGACACCACAGAAATATAAAGAATTGTAAGAGAATATTATGAAAAATTATATGCCAACAAATTGGATAACTTAGAAGAAATGAGAAATTCCTAGAAACATAAAAGCTCCCCAAACTGAATCAGGAAGAAACAAAATTTGAATAGACTGGTTGCCAGTAATGAAACTGAATCAGTAATCAAAAAACTCCCAATAAACAGAAGTCCAGGACCAGATGGCTTCACAGGTAAATTCTACCAAAGAAGAGTTTAAAGCTGTTCTCAAACTATCCCAGAACACAGAAGAGGAAGGAAAACTTCCAGGTTCATTCTGTGAGGCCAGCATTACCCTGATACCAAAACCAGATAAAGACACCTTTCAAAAAAAGAGAACTACAGGCTCATATCTCTGTTGAACATAGGTGTAAAATTCTTCAACAAACTAGTAGCAAACCGGATCCAACAATATATTAAAAAAATTGTTCACTGTGATCCACTAGGATTTATTCCCTGGATTCATGGGATGTTCAATATTCACGAATTAATCAACATCATACATCATATCAATAAGACCAAGGATAAATGCCATATAATCATTTCAATAGATGTGGGAAAAGCATGTGACAGTGTAATACCCATTCATGATAAAAACCTTCAGCAAAGTTGGTTTAGAGGAAACAATCCTTAACATAATAAAAGTCAAATGTGAAAAACCCACACCCAGCATACTCAATGGCAAAAACTGGCAACTTTTCTGGTAAGATCAGGAATAAGACAAGGAGGTCCACTCTCACCACTTTTATTCAACATAATACTGGAAGTCCTAGCCATGGCAATCAGACAGCAAAAAGAAATAAAAGACATCCAAATTGGCAAGGAAGAAGTAAAACTTCCACTATTTATAGATGATATGATATTATATATAGAAAACCTGGAAGACTCCATCAGAAAACTACTAGACTGATATATGAATTTAGTAAAGTCAGAGGATACAAAATCAATATACAGAAATCTGTTGCATTTTTTTTTCAGGATTATTTATTTATTTATTTGACAGAGAGAGAGTTCATAAGTAGGCAGAGAGGCAGGCAGAGAGAAAGAGGAAGGGAAGCAGGCTCCCACCGAGCAGGGAGCCCAACGCGGGGCTGGATCCCAGGACCCCGGGACCACGACCCGAGCCAAAGGCAGAGGTTTAACCACTGAGCCACCCAGGCACCCCAGAAATCTGTTGCATTTTTATACACTAATAATGAAGCTGCAGAAAGTGAAGAAAACAGTCCTATTTACAATTGTACCAAAAAGAATAAAATATCTAGGAAAAAAACTTCACCAAGGAGGTGACAGATCTGTACTCCAGAAACTTAAAATTGATGAAAAAAAAATTGAAGACAACACAAATGGAAAGATATTCCATGCTCATGAATGGAAAGAACAAATATTGTTAAAATGTCCATACTGTCCAGAGCAGTCTACAGATTTTTAAAAATTATTGATTTATTTATTTTGAGAGAGTACCCAAGTCAGAGGAGGACAGAGGAAGAGAGAATCCTCAAGCAGACTCCCTATTGAGCATGAAGCCTGATGTGGGGCTCCCTCCCGGGAACCTGAGATAATGACCTGAGCCAAATCCAAGAGTCATACACTCAACTGTCTGAGCCACCCAGGTGTCCCCAAACTACAGATTTAAGGCAATCCCTATCAAAATACAACAGCATTGGGACGCCTGGGTGGCTCAGTTGGTTAAGCAGCTGCCTTCGGCTCAGGTCATGATCCCGGCGTCCTGGGATCGAGTCCCACATCGGGCTCCTTGCTCAGCGGGGAGCCTGCTTCTCCCTCTGCCTCTGCCTGCCATTCTGTCTGCCTGTGCTCGCTCTCTCTCCCTCTCTCTCTGACAAATAATATCTTAAAAAAAAAAAAATACAACAGCATTTCCTTAGATTTATATGGAACCACAAAAGACCTCCATTAGCCAAAGCCATCTTGAGAAAGAAGAACAAAGCTGGAGGTGTCACAATTCTGGGTATCAATATATACTACAAAGCTGTAGTAATCTATGTAAAATGTGGTACTGGCAGAAAAACAGATCAGTGGAACAGAATAGAGGGCCTGGATATAAACCCACAATTATAAGTCAATTAGTCTTGGACAAAAAAAAGACAAGAATATGCAATGGAAAAAATCTCTTCAACAAATGGTGCTTGGAAAATTGGACAGCTGCATACAAAAGAATGAAACTAGACCAATGTCTTACATGATACACAAAAATTTAAAAATTAGTTAATAACCTAAATGTGAGACCTGAAACCATAAAAATCATAGAAGAGAGCACAGACAGTGATTACACTGACATCAGCCATAGCAACACGTTTTTATATATGTCTCCTGAGACGGGAAGCAAAAGCAAAAATAAAATATTGAGATTACTTTAGAATAAAAAGCTTCAGCACAGCCAAGGAAACACCAAAACTAAAAGAAGATATTGCAAATATCTTCTCAAATGACAAATGTGATAAAGGGTTAGTATCCAAAATATATAGACAACTTACACAATTCAACAGAAAAACCAAATAGTCCAATTAAAAAATGATCAGAAGACATGAACAGACATTTCTCTGAAGAAGATTTACAGATGGCCAACTGACACATGAAGAGATGCTCAACATCCCTCATCATCAGGGATATGCAAGTTGAAACCACACGGAGGTATCACTTCACACCTGTCAGGATAGCTAAAATAGAAAACACAGGAAACAAGTGTTAGCGAGGGTGTAGAGAAAAAGGAACCCTCGTGCATTGTTTATGGGAATGCAAACTGGTGGTGCCACGCTGGAAAACAGTATGAAGTTTCCTTTAAAAGTTACAACTAGAACTACCCTATAATCCCAACTTTTAATCTTAGGAAACAAATAGGGTTGCTGGAGGGGAGGGGGTTAGGAGGATGGGGTACTTGGATGATGGACATTGGGGAGGGTATGTGTTGTGGTGAGTGCTGGGTGGTAAGACCGATGATTCATAGACCTGTACCCCTGAAACGAATAATACATTATATGTCAATTAAAAAAAAGAACTACCCTACAATCCAGCAGTTGCGTAACTGGGTATTTACCCAAAGAATACCAAAACACTAATTCAAAGGGATACATGTACTCCTATAGCAGCATTATTTACAATAGCCAAGATACTACCATATTATCCAGTAATTCCACTATGGGTACTTACCCAAAGAATATGAAAACACTAATTTGACAAGATTTATGCATCCCTTGTTTATTGCATTATTAATAATAGCCAAATTATGGAAACAGCCCAAGTGTCCATTGATAGATGAATGGATAAAGAAAAGGTAGTATATGTTCATATATATATATATATGTGTATGTAATGGAATATTACTCAGCCGTTAAGAAAGAGTGAAATATTGCCATTTACAACAACATGGATAGATTTAGAGAGTATAATGTTAAATGAAATTAGAGAAAGACAAATACCATATGATTTCACTCATGTGGAATTTAAGAAACAAAACAAAGAAAAAATAGACAAACCAAGAAACAGGCTCCTAACTATACAGAACAAACCATTGGTTACTAGAGGGGAGGTGGGTGGGATTATGTGTAAAATAGGTGAAGAGGATTAAGAGTACACTTACCATGATGAGCACTGAGTAATATATAAAATTGTCTAATCAGTATATTGTACACCTGAAACTAATATAACACTTTATGTTAACTATACTGGAATTAAAATTTAAAACATAGCACTTAAAAAAATGCTTTCTTGAATATTGTCATCTTATAAATCTGAATTTGTTCAAGTAGTTGTAAAGCATATAACAGCATGTAAAAAAGCATATAAAAGCATGTAACAGTTGATCATTATCTCCATTTTTGGCATAGTGTATATAAATGTGTCATATTATCTATATATTTTATTTCAGAAATGGTAGATAAATTGTTCTAAATATTATCGTTTTGTATATAGAGAGCATTGAGTTTGATCAGGGTAATAACCACCACCTGTACGTCTCCCATAGAGTATCTTTTGGTGACAGGAGCTAGAGACAGGAAGAAGAGAGCAAGAAAGATAATTCTAACTTACTTATTTGGAGCTTTGCAAAAAGCATGGTCTCATGGTTCTGTTTTCTTCTCTCCAGCTCTGCCTTTTTCAGACTCTGTGCTTCTCTAAGCTAGGAATCCAGAGGAGGATTGATCATTTCTTGCAGCGCTAAAAACCATGGCTCAGGTAAATTGGTGTTTTTTTGTGCTCTCTTTAAGTAGTCACTTTTTTACAGAGTATGTGTATGTTTGCATTTCTTATTTCTGAAATTTCCTTCCTAACCAATCCCACTCAAGAATGTGGTCCCCAGGGACGCCTGGGTGGCTCAGTCGGTTAAGCCACTGCCTTTGGCTCAGGTCATGATCCCTGGGTCTTGGGATTGAGTCCCGCATTGGGCTCCTTGCTCGGCAGGGAGCCTGCTTCTCTCTCCGCCTTTGCCTGCTTGTGCGCTTGCTCTCTCTTCCTGTCTGACAAATAAATAAATAAATAAAATCTTTAAAATTTAAAAAAAAAATGTGGTTCCCCAGCATTTCATTCTTGTAAGTGATAAGGATCTTCCTGAAGTTTGTCTTTGTAATCTAACTTATATTTACATAATTATTCAAAAATAGTTTGAGCATCTCAGACTAGGAGCACTGTTATGACAGAAGCAGATTCCCTGATTTTATAAGATAGAGAAGTTTGTTAAATCACACCACATATGAGAAAACTGAACTTTTCTTGGTTAGGCAGTATCATTAGTTTTGACTGGACTCTATCTCCATACCTGGCAAGAGCTTATTTCTGTGAGCTGTTAAGATTGGTTAGGAGCATGATTAGAGACAGAGAGATCAGGGATCTTCCCTGGGAATCCATAATTGACATAAAGCAATAATATAGATCATTGTGAGAATCAACATTATGAGTTAATCTTGTATGCATAAGTTTAGATTATCTTTTTATCTCTTTGTTGCTTAGAACAAGGGAAGGGTACATTTTTAAGTGATAAATAGTAACAAGAAAGATTATAATTCACATGCAAAAGTTGTTGAAAATTATAAACTCCCAAAATGAGACATGCTTTTGAGATTTTTATGTAACCTAACCTAAAGTGTTCAAATATGCACACTTAGTAAGTCAGACATATTCATTATATAAAGCTATTTTGCAGCCCTTTAAAAACGTATTCTAAATTATTGGTAAGGAAAATGCTTATGATGTATTCTGTCTGATATGATGATGAACTGAGATTTCAATAAATTCTTTAACTATACAAATCTTACAAGGTACAGATTTTATAAGATTTTTCAGAAATACTTCCCCAGTTATTTTTCTTATCTCTTAGAGAATAAGAGAACCTTTCATTTATTGAGAATGATAATACAAGATACGAGCATAATGAAAGAGCGAGTAATAGAGTAGTGTACAGGATGCCTATGTGTGCTTTTTCTTTTAATTGGGACATTACATCTTCTTTATTTAAGTTCCAGACATATCTGTATAATGAGATGTTCTGTATACAGGAAATATCTACAGCAACAGGAATAAAGAGGAATGTGTTGGCACACCAGAAGCTATGATATCTTTAGTGTCTTATTTATGTCAGTGGCTTTTTGCTGTTTTCTCTGTTGCCTCCTTGTGGAGAGCTCCCCCCTCATCTCCCCTTTATTGAAAAAATATTTTCTTTATTTCTACAACTAGTATTATATTTGTTGTTTCAGAGATCAGTGATGTTCAGGGATGTTGCCATTGACTTCTCTCAGGAAGAGTGGGAATACCTGGACTCTGCTCAAAGGGATTTGTATAGAGATGTGATGTTGGAGAACTATAGTAACTTGGTGTCACTAGTAGGTAAGGAAATGTACCCCAAGTATTTCAGGATTTACCTTTGGAATGGCTGCTTTCTCTGTTTTTAAGTAACTAACTGAATTGCCTCTTACTATTCTCAAAAGAATGGTTTTAAATTACTAGAAATAGTAGTATTTCAGAGGGCACATGTGGCTTCTCCATTCTGCAAGTATAATTATCTGTCTTCGGTCTGTCTGCCTTCCTGTCTTCCTTGATTATCGAGGAGCTAGATTTTAATTCTGGGACACTTGAAATATTAAAAACAGACCATCCATTGTTAAAATTTAGATCTGCTAAAGGAGCTCAAAATATTTTTTAAAAAATAGATGCAGAAATGTATGGTTTTTCTAATAGAAGAGCTTATATTATTTACATAGTAATAGGGCAGATCAAGTCAGGTCAACACAGTCCATTACAACAAATACATTCTCTTATTTATGTTTTATAATTTAATATTACATTTTAAGAACTTTGTATTTTACATTGAATCAATGTGCCAGAACCACCTTCTACTGGAAAAGAGCTCAGGAAGAATATATGATTGTCTAAGAAAGTTGATTGTTTTTTTTCCTGTAGACAAGAGACACCCTATATCAGTTGAAACTTCAACAAGTGATTTTCCAACCTAAATGATCACTTTCTTTGGATTCTTTAAGTCCCTGGACTGTAACTGTCTCTTGCCCATTCACTCTTTACTCGGAAGGCTTTATGAAGTTATTGGTTGGTACACTGCCTTTCAGAGCCCAGGTCATGTGGAAAAAAAATTTCTCACTTGAAAAGAAAAGCAAGAGCTTTTCAGCACAGTCTCTCTAAGGAATCCCACCTAATCCCTACTTCTCCCTTTTGGTCTTTTATGGTAGTCCTTCCCACTGCCAAAGGAGGGCCTTTTCCTTTCCTCCAGTGAAAACAAACCTTTTATTTAAACTTGGGAATCTGTTCCGTTCTAGGTTTTTTAAAAATTTAGACTTATATCATTTTCTCCTTCTTTAAAATGTACTCATTCATTCGAAATACATTTACTAAGAGCCTGTTCTTTGCCAAGAACTGTAGTAGGCACTGGAGAAATGATGATCTAGATAAGGTTCATATTCTGCCACATTCTCATAGGAGAAATAAAAAGTAAACAAGGAAATAAAAATATATGTGTATTTGTGTGCCTATATATATATATATACATATATACATTTATTTAGTAAGTATAACAGTTGCAAGTAGTAATAAAGAATATGGATAAAGGTAAAGATAAAAGTTAGTTCATAGGCAAATGAACTAACTGGGGAGTATGGGTGGGCTATTTTATAGGTAGATTATTTTTTTAAATTCTTTTTGAGAGAGGGAAAGCACCAGCAGTGCGGGTGGAGGGACAGAGGAAGAGGGAGAGAAAGAATCTCAGGCAGACTCCCTGCTGCATGTGGAGTCTGATGTGCGGCTCAGTCTCAAAACCCTGAGATCATGATCTGAGCCGAAAACAAGAATCAGATGCTTAACTGACTGAGCCACCCAGGACCCCTAGGTAGGAAAATTTTCAAAAACCTCTCTAAAGAGGTAATGTTTGAGGGAAGACTTGACTGATAAAAGGGTATGAGTCAGGCCAGTCTATGGGGGAATGGTATTCCAGCAGATGGAGTAGTAAGTGTAAAGGGCTTGGGGTGGGTGTTAACTTAGGAGGAACAAAAAACATAATTAAAGAGTGAGTGATAGAGTAATAAGAAATAAATACAGTTAAACAACTTCAGAAAAGGAGTCCAAATTTTTTTTTTTTATTTTTTGAGGTTGGGCCCTCTGACTTCTGGCCAAAGAAAATGCACATCCCCTCTGAAGGAAAGTAAGAGGGCTTTAGAATTCCCCAAAATTAAGATCAACAAAAGAGGAGGTCACAAAGATCATCAAACCCACAAGGAAACAGGTCATAGGTGAGTGATAGATAATGTAAAGAAACAATAGATTACATGGCAAATAATTTGGCTTATTGGCCTTATTAGATATAAATGTGGAATGTTGGTGAAATGTTTTAAGAAATAAGCGAAATCACAAAAATGACAAGCAATGAGATTTTCATAAAGGATCTGATTTGAAAGATAACCAGATAGAACATTTCTAAAGGTTCTGGTTAGATTTTTAAAAAAAAATAATCAGTAATCGATTGATAAATTTGCATGAAAATTGTTTTTTTAATAAAAAGACAAAGTAAAAGACATTGGGTGAAGATATTTGCAATTCATATTGACAACAGTAAAATTAATACCTAGGATATAAAAAGCTTTTATAGAATGAGAAAAAGGTAAATAATTTTTTTTGAAGAATTGGGTAAAAGACATGCATAGACAGTGAGGAAAAGGATATAAATCAAGGAAGTGAATGACTTATGCTCTGAAAACTATAAAACATTGATGAAAGAAATTCAAGACAACACAAATGGAAGGATATTCCCTGCTCATGGATTGGAAAAATTAATAATTGTGAAATGTCCATGTCCATACTACCCAAAGCAAACCATAGATTCAGTGCAATGCCTAACAAAATACCAATGGCATTTTTCACAAAACTAAAACAAAGAATCCTAAAATATATATGGAACCACGAAAGACCCTGAATAGCCAAAACAATCTTGAGAAAAGAACAAAGCTGGAGGTATAGCAATATCAGATTTCAAGATATACTACAAAGTTGTAGTAAACCAAACAGTTTGTACTGGCACAAAATAGACACATAGATCAGTGGAACAGAGATCCCAGAAATAAACCCACACATACATCATTAATTAATCTACAGCAAAGGCAGCAAGAATATTCAGTTGGGGAAAAGAGAGTCTTTTGAATATGGTTCTGGAAAAACTGGACAGCTACATGCAAAAGAATGAAAACTAAAGCACTTTCTTATACCATACACAAAAATAAACTCAAAATGGATTAAGACCTGAAATCATAGAACTAAAAGAATACATAGGCAATAATCTCTTGGACATCACTCTTACCAACATACTTATGAATATGTCTCCTCAGGAAGGGACACAAAAGCAAAAATAGACTATTGGGATGACATCAAAATAAAAAGCTTTTGTACACCAAAGGACACCCATGAATAACATGAAAAGACAACCTACTGAATGGAAGACAATATTTACAAGTGGTATATCTGATAAGGGGTTAATATCATTATGTTAAAGGGAAATATAAATAACCAACAGACATGAAAAAGTGCTCAACTTTATTAGCAATCAGGAGATGCAAATTAAAGCCGCAGTCAGATAATGATTTCACATACCCTGGAGGGGCAAAAACTTAAGTGGTAGTACCAAGTGTTTACAACTTTTGGTGGCAGAAATGCTACATACCTCATTTTCACAATAGCCAAAAAGTGAAAATGACCCAAATGTCTGTTGACTGATGAATAAATGAATAAAATTTGGTATCATTTTACAATGGATAATTATTTAGCAATACAGTAGCCAAAATGTGGAAATAACCCAAATGTCCACCAGCTGATGAAAGGATGAATAAAATTTGGTTTATCCTTAAGATGGAATATTATTCAGCAATAAAAAGGAGTACTGATACATGCTACAACATGGATGAACCTTGAAAACATGCTAAGTGAAAAAAGCCAGATACAAAGACTATATATTACATGATTCTATTTTTATGAAATTTCTACAATAGATCATCTATAGAGATAGAAAGTAGATTAGTGGTTGCAAGTGCATTTGGGGTAGGAGGTGAAGGTGAATGGAGAATGAGAGTAGGGAAATTGGAAATGATGATTAATAGGTACAAGGGTTTTTCTTTTTTTTGAAGTGCTAAAAATATAAAATTAGATTGTGGTGATTGTTGCAGAATTCTGTGACTATACTAAAACTTATTTAATTGTATTCTTTAAATGAATGAATTGTAGGTATGTGAATCTGTTGCTTTGTTTTGTTTTGTTTTTTAAGTGTTCCATACCTTACTGATGGCAGTATCAATTGACATAACCACTTTTTTTAAAAAAAATGTGGAAATGATTTCCAAATTTCTATAATTAGCTGGGTTCTTTTAAAAATTCCAGATCCCTGGACACACTCCAGACCAATTAAATTACAGTCTCTGGGCATGGGACACAAATATTTTATGAAACTTCTTAGGTTGTTCAAATGTTCAGACATGTTTGGTAAGCACTATAGTATATTATCTGAGAATTTATTTTTTTATTTGAAGGTTCACTCCATTTAATTGCTATTGCCTGGATTTATTTTTCCCCTATTTTGTGTTTTTTTGTTTGTTTGTTTGTTTACTCTTTTAATCTGTGCTTTCTTTTTTATTTCTTAATCAAGATGGATACAGCTTTTGGGGTTTTTTTGTTAATTCTATTTTCCCCCTTGTTTAATTTGGAAGACATAGACTATTTATATATCTTTAGTGGTTATCTTTAATTTTTTATCACATATACTGTATTTCTTTTAATGCAAGTGCAGTTTTGTAGTTTTTATTAATTGCAGTGATGTTTGAAAAATATATGCATTTAAGGAAAATGGACTTTTATTAATTATTAAATGTATTAATTAATATGAAGACACTCATTCAATCCATATACGTGTTTGCATACTGCTTTATAGACGTCTTTTTTATTTCCAAGTTTTTATTTAAATACAGTGCAACACTAGTTCCAGGTGTAGAATTTAGTGATTCATCACCCCCATAGAACACAGGGCTTATCACAACAAATCCCCTCCTTAATACCCACCACCTATTTAACCCATCCCCCTGCCCACCTCCCCTTCAGAAGCCATCAGTTTGTTCTATATAGTTAAGAGTTTGTTTCTTGGTTTGCCTCTCTTTTTCCCCCTACTATGTTCATTTGCTCCTTAAATTCTACATATGAGTGAAATCATATGGTATTTGTCTTTCTCTGACTGACTTGTTTTGCTCAGCATTATACACTTTAGTTCCATCCATATCACTGCAAATGGCAACATTTCATTCTATTTGATGGCTGAGTAATATTCCATATATATATACGTACACACA